GTGCAGGTCTCCCGAACTCCTTCTGGGTGTTCACACATTCTCCTGCTCTAAAAAGCACGGGAGTCACGGCCTGCCCCTCTCTGGTTGGGGGACTTGTCTGCAGCGGGCTGATGGGGGCCACGCCATGGGAAGGTGCCCTTCCCACCCCTGGGTCCACGGTCGGCAGGAACCCCCTCCGCGGGGCCGTGGGGCCGCGGCAGTGGTGGGGTTGTGGGCCTCCTGGAGCCCCAGGCCACACCGCCAAAGGCAAGGAGGCTGGCTCCTTCAGGAGCTGTAACTAGGTTTAGTTAGGTCACTAAGGTCTAATCAAGCTTCCCTCATAAAAATGCACAGTAACAGACTTTTCTCCCACCGCTCAATCTGTTTAAGATGCCGTCTGTGGGTGTGGTTCTGGGGTTCTGGCAAATTCAGTTTCCCTCTTTGCAACAGGACAGCTGGGCCCTTGGCACTCTGTGCACCCAGGGTAAATAACCATCCGTATGACGGTTCAGGGGCAAACCTGCCGTACTGAGCGTTCCTGCCAGGTGGGAAGTGTGTGTATGGGGGGAACGCTGGCCAGAACCCAGGAAATCCAGGCACACAGTGACCTCTCCCCCGAGGGCCCGTGTTCCCAGCATGGCCACATGACCTGGGGAAAGGTCCCCATGTGCAGAGCCCCTAGCCGCCCCCCCACCCCCGGCACATTGGACCCCTGGTTTCCTTCCTTCCCCACCGAAGCCAGAACCCCGGGGCCCCCGCATCCGACCTGGGACCTGTCGCGTTGGCGGGTTAGGTCGGCCCCTGCGGCGGCGGGTGGGGATTCGAAGCGGCGGTAGGTAACATTTGCTGAGACCCCTGCCTCTCCTTTCTCTCTGGAAGCACCTCTCTGAGCCGTGTGAACCCACCGAGGCCACCGAGCGGGGGCAGCTTCGCGACCGCCGTCTGGCCGAGGCCATGGCAGAGAATGGGGGGCTGATGTGCAGGAGAGCAAGCCAGGAGGACATGGGCCTGGACGACACGGCTTCCCAGCAAAGTGCGTCCGATGAGCAGTAGGGGGGCAGGGCTGGCCAGGAGCCCCTCCTGTGGAAAAACGAGAGCTGCTGTAGCCAACAGTGACTTTACCTCGGGTTCCGGAAGAGTCTCACGTGAGGATAAAACACGGGGCAGCACACCCCCTTCCCCCAACACTGCTCCAAGCCACCCCTGGAGCCCCCCGGACGTGGGATGCACAACACACTTTCCAGAATTTGAAAATTCTAACAAAAAGCCATGTAATATCTTAAATAGAGAAGTAGAGCGCATAAATCTTTCCTGCCCTGAAGAAACTAAGACAAGTGCATGTTAATAATTGGCATTTTATACATTACCGTTACCACGTTAAAGGGACAGCAGCACCCATCATACCATCCGCTGGTCAAACACAGTAGGGTTCAGTCTACGCATAAAGAAAACCTCACTTCTTTATAGTATTTATGCAGACGTCAAGTATAAGCCAGCGGCGGCTTTTCTGCAAGAAACGTGGTAGTGCATGAAGTCGGGTCTAAAGTATCCCGTGAGAGATCCAGCGACGCTAGCGACCCAAGTGTAGAAATCTAGGCCTGTGGGGGGAGCACGGAAAGCCATTTGGAATCCCATGACGCTCAACTGTAGTCCCCGGCTTCCCACAACCAGGCCTGTCTCGCCCGGCGCTCCCATACGCTCACAGGAATGTTCGCTGGTTTTCCGAGCCGAGCGATCCTTCCCGGGTCACAGAACACTTGCACACACCTTCGTTTTTGGAATTAAAATGTTTACAGTTACTGTTGTGTCCGGTTGCTTGAATTCTGCTGTAGCCTTTATTATGAGAATGACATTTGGGCAAATTCTGGGACTTTGCCCACCTGAAGAGCCCCTACCGGGTAAAGCAGAAACCCGGTTCCTTGTGGATGTAAGGGGTGGGGAGGGGGGGGGGGCGAGGGGGTCCATGAAGAGTATCATCACCGGCCTGTGGTTCATCCCTTCTGGAAAGGAAAGAGTTAGAAATACTCATTTTGGAAACAGTTCTGCAAGTTTCTTCAAGGAATCTAGGATTTGGAAGTGTGGGGAGTAGGGGAGGGCATGGTGGAGAATTTCCTCCCCCCCCCCCCCCCCCCCCCCCCCCGGTAAGTAGATGGTAATACTTTTTCTTTTTTCAAAATAAGAATTGCCAATTAATAATAATAGGTAGGCTCTGTAAGCAGAGGCACAGTACATTGTTCTCACATCAGTGATCCCTGGAGATGCAAAGTTGGCTATTGATTTAAATGCAGGTGATTGTCTAATGAGAGGCTGATAGAACCTTACTGTAGTTCTCCAAATTGGCCAAACCAAACTTGGCTGGCAGTCCCTGAAATCCTCTTGGGCCACTTTACAGCCAAGCCCTCAGGACTAAATGCCCGGCCCTGAGCTGTGAGCGTGGCCTCCCCACAAAGGGCATCTCCATGAATTCCATAAGAAAAATGACAGATGCCCAGTAGCAGCCTGATGTGAGCTGACCACCCAGTGGGCATCCAGAAGCAAGCGACGCAGAAAGCCATTGTGTTCCACAGAAAATGAATCTCCTGGGGCACCTGGGTGGCTCGGTCGGTTAAGCGTCCGGCTTTGGCTCTCAGGTCAAGATCTCACGGTTGGTGGGTTCGAGCCCCGCGTCGGGCTCTGTGCTGACAGCTCAGAGCCCGGAGCCTGCTTCGGATTCTGGGTCTCCCCCTCTCTCTGCCCCTCCCCCGCTCACATTCTGTCTCTCAAAAATAAATAAACGTTAAGAAAAAAAAATAAGGAAATGAATCTCCTGAAAATAAGAAAATGAATCTCCTGATGGTGGAGAGACACGTCAATGTAAACGAGAAGCCGAGAGCTCCCGTTGCTCCTGTGCGCTGTTCTGCTGGTGCTTCGGGAGCGGCTTCCCTAACTGCAGACTCGGCCGCTTATCCCGGTTCTCAGCGCAGAGGGAGCAGAGCAGCTTGGTTATGGTTTGTCAACAACAGCGAAGGCCAAAGTCCTCGGATCTGAACGCAAGCGTGCGTTGTCTGCGGCAGTAGAATCCTCCGGGCGTGCATGGCGGGAGTGCGTACATGTAAACACGCTTCCGTGCGCGGGTGTGCGTGCCCACAAAGGGAGAGATGGGGTCGGACCCCTTCCTGGACCCTGCAGGCCGGTGGGCAATGCAGCCACGCTTTTCCTCTACGTTGTGGCGAACCACCTTTCCGTTTTCGACGCGCATCAGAGAATTCCTTGCAAGACAACGGATTAGCCCCCATTAAAAGGCGATATTCCTAAAGTGACATCTCCTGCAGAAGTCGTTTAAATGCGCTGCCAGCATACAACCAAAGGGTTATGTTTTTGGACACTGAACGAAACGGTTTTTCCTCTAAAGAGGTTTGATATAAATCGTGTGGCTAACCGGGCATTATTGATTCTAAATCAATGCGTTTGCACTGTGTGCTGAAACCATCTGTCTGGCAGGTAGTTTTCTAAAATCACTCGATGCTCCGGCGTCTCCTTGCCCGTAAAGCGTGCAGCGCAGCCCTTGTGTCCTCAGCCCCTCTCAGGCCTCCTCCACCGTCCAGTGGTTTGGTCCAAGTCATTACATTCTGGGGACACAGCACCCACCATCAGCGCACACACACACACTCACACACACACCCACGTGTGCAATCTTCCCAGATGCAACCTTCGTGAATTCCAAGACGGGAAGAGAGAGAGGGGAAAGGGCCATTCCACTTTTTCTGGGCCACCATCGCCCCCTACCCCGCCCTGGATGACCTGGGGGCTGGGAATGGAGGGGGCCTCTGGACTTGCAATTGTGCTGGGAGCTCTGACAGATGAGGGCCCATGAATTTGAGAGACTCGTCCATCCCTGCACATGCGCATATTCAGAGGTAGAGGGGAAAAAAAGGTTTTTTTTAAAACGCTGTACCTAAGTGGCTGGTGGTGCGGTCAACTCATTCTCCACATCCGTTCTGCTCTGTCCCGTCCATGTTATTCCAGCTGAAACTCTTCACACAAACAGTACACCTGTCCATTTTGTGTTTTCAAAGTGAATTCTTCCTTCAAGTCTGGCCCCTGACCCAACTATCTGTTAGGTGTCTGGATTTGAAGAGTAGGCATTTCAAACCCAGATATGAACGGGAGCTCCCGACGTCAGCCCGTCCCTGCCACCGCACCCCTTCCTCTCCCAGACCGCCTCGTCTCGGGTAGTGGCACGGTACGGGTGGACCCGCGCCCTCGGCTTCCCCTCCGGTCCTGGCCTGTGCTCGGTACGTGGGCCTCCAGTGGTGTTCTGCCTCAGCGTCTCTTGAACGCTCAGAATGCGCCTTCTACAGACTGTGTGCGGTCAGTCGTGGGTTAGAGTCATTTGTGAAGTCATCTGATCTGATACCACAGACTGGGGGGGTGGGACAGCAAATGCTGATTTCTCACAGTCCTGGAGGCTGGGAGGCCCAAGATCGAGGCTCCAGCAGATTCAGTGCCTGGTGAGGGCCTGCCTCCCGGTTCACAGATGGCCATCTCGCGGTGTCCCCGCGAGGCAGAGGGGAGAGCCCTCCCCGATCTCTTATAAGCGCCCTAATTTCATTCACGAGGACTCCACCCTCACGACCGGATCCCCTCCCCAAGGCCTCCCGCCTAACACCATCGCACTGGGACTTAGATTTCAACACAAGAATCTGGGGGGGGGGGGGGGGGGGGGGGGGGGGGGGGGGGGTGGACGCAGACATTCAGACCACAGCATTATCCTTTATTAAACTTCTTAAAACACAGGGATAGCTTCTGATATCTTCATATGTGCCCCTGATCATCCTGACAAATTATTCAAGGTCCCTGCCAGAGCCACCACGAAATGCTCTTCCAGTTTATAGCTGCCAGTTTATCCCAGCAAAATGTCAGCTCTGAGATCTGGGGGCACACGATGCACAGAAAAGGACAGAAAGCTTCAACAGGGACACAGTGGGAGGAGTGGAAAGACATTGGGCTTTGGAGCCACACAGACTTGGTTCAAACTCTGTATCTGCCACTAAAGGCAGGTTTCTTTACCATTAAAGAGGAAGCACGCAGAAGCTCGCATCCCCTCTACGTGTTGGGGGCCGTCCCGAATCTGTTCTGCACACTGGGTACCTCCGAGGACCCTGTTTCACCCACCCTCCACAGCCCACCTGGTTTCAGCTCTCAGTGCCCACAAACTAGCGATTTTACCTTCTTGCGAGAAATTTCACTAGCTTTCCTTCTCAGACACAATCAGTGTACTATATAGTCATGACTGAAAACACAGAACTCAGGACAAGCAGCAGAGAGGAGAACGTCCCTTCGCACTTTGACAGACAGGCCCCTCCTGCAGGGCCAGTAAAGGCTCCATGTGATGGGCTCCCTCTGGCCAGGGAGGACCGGCTGCACCAGGCCTGTGCGGGGTCCGTCTTCAGGGGCACGTAGGTGACGCTTCCCCAGCCTGTTCCCTTTCTCAGTTTACCTGAGGCCGTTGCGGGATTCAGGACTGTGGGCATTGGCGAGTAGGTCTGAGGCAGCGGCCAGGCTCCTGGGGATTGAGGAAGCCTCTGCTGCTTGAGTCAGTGGCGTGGCCATCCGGACACACGGAGGTGCACAGACCACACCTGCGTGTGGCCCTCCTTCGGGCCTGGGCAGCGGGACAGAGATGCCCTCGTCCCCACTCTGGATCTGTAATAAGAGATTAGTTCATAAGCTGGTAGGCCTTTCAGCTGTGACCCCTCAAAGGCTCAGCACATCCAGACCAAGCTTCGGGAGGCTCCCCTGGGGAAACACCAAAGAAAGGATCCTGACCAAAGAGCCCGTCAGGGGCCACCGACCACTGTCCCGGCTCAGAGACGCAAGTGTTTCCCATACTGTCCAGTGCACCCAGTGCTCAGGACCCCTCACTCCGCACGCCCAGACCGGGCCACCGTTCCAGACAGGGGCACGCCTGGCATCTGTGCCAGCTGGGTCTGGAGCTAAGGCCGGCTGCTCAAGTATCCCGGAGATTCGCGGATCTGCACCAGAAAGGACCCAAAAGCACCGTGCGGTCTCCGCAGTACTGTCAACCACCTGCCACCTTTTCCACAGCCGCCCCGCGACAGGCTGAACCTGATCTTTCCACACCATTCTCAACAGCCCCAGCTCCCGGCACCGGGCCCTCCCCAGGGGATCACACGGATGGCTGCTGCCGGCTTCCTTCCACGCTGTGGCATCGCCTTCCTTGGACGACACTCGTTTCCCCCTTACTCTGGAAGGGAAACGGGGCACGGAACGGTTTAAGGCCACGTCTAAGTTGATGTGGCCGGAGTGGGGGCTCCGACCCGAACCCACAGGCCTGAGTACAGAATGAAGACCTGCCTCCCACACAGGGCTCACGCGTTTGCACCAACACATTTATTTTTATTTTATTAAGCAATAAGCAAACAGACGATGAGATGGGCGGGGAGGACCGAAACTGGCCTTTCCCTGAACTATTTTTACAAACCAAGTAACTAGTGTCCCTTGAAACCACAGCTCCAACTGGAGCGGGGTCTGAGTTCGGGACGTGCAAAATCGGTTAGGTAGCGGCCGCTCCTCTCCCCCTTCCCCGGAACACGCTTATGAACTTCAGTGGGGGCGAATTCCATCTAATACCCCGAAAGCCATTTCTCATTCCATAATTTACCAGAATCATACGCGTAACTGCAAGGGGAAATAAACAGACCCCCTCGGCATAAATAAGCCGCGGCGGACCGCTCATCGTGGAGTGCAGGTCAGGCATTAAGGCTAACTGATCTTTTAAACATTTTTTGGAGAACAGCTGTCAGGCTTTCTCCGGAAAAACCCACAAGGCTTCCGAAGCCGGAAGGCCTAAGTCCTTGCCAGGCAGGGCCCCGAGGAGGCTCCGCGTGAACCAGCACACCTCTTCAAGCGCACGAAGCAGGGACGCGAGCTGTCTTCACTGCCTGCCGCTCTGCACACACGTCACGATATCTGGCAGAAGGCGGTTCCTATTCTCCTTGGTGACCTGTGGGGGAAGTAAGACAAGGCTTCAGAGTCCCTTCCTTTTCCTCAATCCTCTGACAGGCAGTGCTCTATGGGGAGAGCCTGGGAAGGGGAGGCAGGTTTCATAAGCCCCGGCCGAGAGCACTGTGAGGACAGGACACGCGAGGTCGAATGCCACCCCTGCTTCTGCAAAGCGACAGCTCAGACAGTGGAAGTGGTTCTAACCACGAGGAGCTGGGAGCTGACCCCCTCGAGGGGCTCTGGGTAGATGTCAATGCAGGTGGGACGCAGCCCCCGTGCGACCTGACCTGAACCAGGAGAACCGCCTAAGAGGAGCCCACCGAGAGCGGCCAAACCTGAACTCTGGGAAGTCCCAGAGGTCAGTAATCTACTCGTCTCTCCACATGGAAAAGCTGAGCCTGGCGAGGAGCCTCTGACGTCAGTCAACTCCCCATCTGCAGGATGGGGAAGCTAAGTCCGGGGGGTGCCAGGACCACACTGAGCCCTCGGAGGTAGCTGGGGACACAGCAGAGGCTAGACCTCGATCCCCCCACTCCGGCTGCATCCTCTGTAATTCGCATCCTTTCACAAAGGAACCAGGAGTTCATTCACACTTTACCCGGTGATCTGTTTTCATTTTCCTTTCCTTTACTGCTGTGGTCCCAATGAGTCCAAGAAAAGCATTTAGACGCCCCTTCCTGGGTGGGGGGTTGGACGGTGGGCGGTCCAACCAGGACGGTGGTAGGGGCAGGGCCACCTCCTCAGCCGTCACCTGTGTGTGCCTTCTGCTCGGCCCCCACACGCACCCACTCAACATCGATGGGGTGGCGACCAGAAACTGAGCAAGGTACTGGGGACACAGAGAGGACTCCGATAGGGACTTGACCTCATGGAGCTGGCAGAGCAGAACAGAGGGACAGACGCGGACAGTGAGTGCACTGGTGGTAAAGGGTCCGGGAGAGAAACTCTGGAGAGGCGCACGGGAGCTGCGGCGGGGCGAGAAAAGACTTCCGTGGACTGGACTGGACTGAATTTTGACCGGTGGACATGGGAGAAGGTCCCCCAGACAAAGACGCAAGCAAAGAATCACAGAAAGAGTAAGTGAGTGCATCTGGAGAGCCAGCAGGCTCAGTGCCGGCAGACCCGGAGACCGGACTGCCCACTGCACGAGTCCACACCCGTCCACGTCTAGCGGACCACCTGGCACAGAGCAGGCGCTAAATGAACGTGTGATGGAGACGCACGGCGGGCTTCATCCCCGTGGCTCCCCAGCACCCACTCACCCTCCTCGAAGAGCACTGTGACCTTCCTCTGGGAGACGACGTCATCTAGGAAACTGGCTCTTGGCCAACGAGTTCCAGCTGGGCCTGAAGAGCCTCCCGAGAGCCCGAGTCCTGAAAGGACTGAGTCAAGCAGCAAATGGCGAGGCCACCACCTCTAACACTAAGTCCAAGGACGCGGTGCACTGGTCCTTGCCCTGTTGCTCTGGTCTGTGGTCCCAGGAGGACCATCAGCTCTGCTCCGGCTTGAGAAGAAACTGCCACACAGCCTTGCAAGGCTTTCTGTTGCTGTTTTTGCTTAAATTAGCCAAGTCCCTCTCTGCTGTTTGCATTCAAGGAAGTCTGCTGATGTGAACGGAGGAAAGGGGGAGACAGTGGTGGGAACTGGCAGGCTCATCAGGGGGCTTCGTAACCCCACTGCGCTAGTGGAGAGGGGCCGTTAGATCCCTTCCTCCCCGCTGACTTCACCAGGAACTACCCTAGGCTCTGCCCTCAGAGTGTTTGAGAGTTTACCGTGTGCCTCAGAGGGCAGAATACAAGATGAGGGGCATTTGGGGCTACTTCCCCTAGAAATGTAAGATTTATAACACAGGAGACGTGGAGCTGGGAGAGGAGGGACGGAAAGGAAAGACAGAGGGAAGGAAAGTACAGGAGACGTGGGGGGGGAGGAGTGAGGAGGAGGGGGAGAAAGACCACTTGGACCAGAGGGAAAGAATTAATGCCAGCTTTGCACGGGTGAGAAACAAGGGGCAACCAGGGCACTGCTCGCCCCAGGCACCCCCACCAACTATCCCCCTGCCCTTCAGCCAGTCACCGAAAGGAGTGCACGGTCATGGGCATTTGATCCTCCACTTGTACAGGGGACAGTCCCACTGCTGCCCACAAATGCGAGCTGCAGTGAGGAGAGCATGAGGGCGCAGGGGGGCAGAATCCACATCTGCAGGGGAGGGGCAGGAGCCGAGGCTCCATCCCTACTCTGTAAATCCCCATTGAAAGAGGGACTTGGGCGGGGGGGGGAGGGGCCTGGGAAGGAAGGCTGAGAAGGAAGCCCCATGACCCCAGGTGCCGGGTCTGGCGGGAGGCTGGTTAGGCACAGCCAGGGGCGGCAGAGCAGGGGGGATCTAACAGGCGCGGGGCTTCAGAGGGTCAGTAAAGATGCCACAGGCCACGCAGGCACAGTTCTGTATGTCTGGGCAATACCACCACTCTCACTGGGTAGACGGTCATGATCACGTGGCCACCCTGGTCTCAGGACCCGGCTCGCAAGGCCCCATCTGGTCTCGGTTCAACTTCACGCCGGGCCTCCGGTCGGCGAGCACGCCCCAGCTCCATCGACCAGGTGTGAGTGAGCCCCGCTTCCCCACCCGCCTCCTGGAGCTTGCCCGGTAGTGTGTGCGTCACAGCAGGGGCAGAGGCGGTGTGTCCCACATGCTGAGGGCACGCTCCAAGCCCTAGTTCCATAGAAAAAAATAAACACTGGAAAAGATTCATTTTGAGAATGTTTTTGTGTTAAAAATGTAACGAATGCAGGGGCGCCTGGGTGGCGCAGTCGGTTAAGCGTCCGACTTCAGCCAGGTCACGATCTCGCGGTCCGTGAGTTCGAGCCCCGTGTCAGGCTCTGGGCTGGCTGGCCTGGAGCCTGAGCCTGTTTCCGATGATGCTGTGTCTCCCTCTCTCTGCCCCTCCCCCGTTCATGCTCTGTTTCTCTCTGTCCCAAAAATAAAAAACGTTGAAAAAAAAAATTTTTTTAAAAAAATGTAACGAATGCAAAAAACGACATTAATATTTTGCTACCCCCCCTTGATTGCCCTAAGATTGTTTCTGAAAATTTCACAGTAAGGGGTCTATATGAAACTGTCTACAGTGTTCAGTTACTACTGTTACATTCCTTGTGCGTTGAAGACGGGCTCTCAAATGTGAGAACAAGTAAAAATCATCTGTCAGCCTCAGGGGCCCTCCCCTGCACGCACAATCCTTGTCTTGTATTCAACCACCAGAAGGCTGGCCGCAGAAAGCCCTTACCGAGGAGATAGCACTAGGCGCAGAAGAGAACGAGCTGAGGAAGAACGCAGGAAGGAAGCCCCTGCACTCTCCACCCCACTGCACTGCAGCCTCAAGAGAAAGGAAGCCAAGTGAGACCTGAGCCCTCTGCCCTGTCCGGTGGCCCTTGATGAAGATCAGACCCTAAGTTCCCTGGGGACAGGGGCATCTCATTCATCCTATGTCTGGCACATGGTGGGGGTGTGGGGTGCCCAGTAAATGTTTACTGCATTCTGAGCTGAGCAGGGTCTTTGAAACACAGCTGAGCGATAACATAAAGATTGTGAAGACTCTGACCGTCTTAAGCATCCACGTTGCTCTGTGTGTGCTGCCTCCAGGGGCCACGGAAGGGCCTGAGAGCGACCAATCAACAACCTGGGCACCCGGACATCAGCGAAGCTGTGAATATTCAGATACAGGAACAGGCAGCAGGGAAAATGCCCCTCACTGCACATACGTTATTTTCCTTGAACCTGTGGGAAAGACCCTGACAAGTTCCTAGTAAGCAACGGATTACAGAAAGAAATTTGACAATGCTTGTTATCATAAGTTAACACACATCCAAAGTTATTACTAGCCTGTTTCATGTTGTGTCTTTATGTTACTGAACCTAAAATTAGGATTATTCCTGAATCCAATCCCTTTCGCTCTACTTTTTTCATGAAGGTTAAAGTTTCCAAGCCAAGAATTATTTTCACGTTGTATCAAGTAAGACTTTGCCTGCCTTGAGTTTACAAGACTTCCTTCTGTATTTTCTTCCGAGAACTATAGTTTAGTTCTTAAATTTAGGCCTAGGATCCTACACTGAGTTAATTCTGGTAGATGATGTAAGGGTCCAACTGCCTTCTGTGCATGAGGATGTCCAGTTTTCCAGCACTGGATGCAGTTTGCTGAAAAACAATTCTTTCCTCATTACGTGGTCTCAGCATGCTTGCTGAAAATGAACTGATCCTCAACGTAAGGATTGATTTCTGGACTTTTAGTTCTATTCTACTGATCTATGTGTCCAGCCTTCGGCCAGGACCGTACTGTCTCGATCACTGAAGGTTGTAGTAAGTTTCAAAATCAGGAAGTAGGAGTCCTCCAACATCTTCTTTCTCAAGACTGTTTCAGTGGGGTCCTTCCCATCTCCACGTGAATTTCAGGACTGGCTTGTCAACTTCTACAAACACTCTGCCTGACTTTCCACCCAGAGGTTAACAGATATTCTCTCACTCCTGTATCTGCAGGAGTCCACAGGCCGGGAGGGCAGCAGCAAATTCCAAGTGAGACTAACATGCTTTATGCCCTGCTTGGTGAAAACACCCACCAAGGAACAAGAAGAGGTCTAAGAATTTCCAAAATGGAAGGAAGTCGGGACCTACTTCCTGTTATTCTTGTGATCTTACGATCCACAAATTGTGATCTTACAATCCACAAATAAAAATTAAGAGCATAAAAACTGCTTTATGGAAAAAAAAAAAAAAACAAGTGTAAAAGGCTCTGAATTCAGGATAGTGGAATAGATTTTAGTTATAGCAACACTTTATAAAGTAGAAAACCAAATAATTTCTAGGAACCTGAGATTTTTTTTTTTTTTTTTTTTTTTTAGCAAAATCATCTGAACCACCCCATCAACAAAGGAAACAGTACGGCATTATGCTAACACTCAGGCTTGGAAGCGAGACAGACGGAGCCTTGAACCCTAGCTCTGCAGCCTACTGAGAGACCTTGGACATGCTATGCAGCCTTGATAAAATAAAGGTTATGTGACACACCCACCGGGGTACTGTGAAGTCTGCACTGGTGGGTCTACAGTACTGGGCACAGCACCCAAGTCCAGTGCTCAGTGACTGGTGGCCACGTCGGCATCTAAATGAACGTTCCAGGCTCCAGCTGCCTCTTCTGTCCCGTCAGCAAATAACATTCCCAGCGTTTCCATCAAGCAGATATTTCAAAGGAAATCAAAAGAAATATGCTTTCTAAATGCCTCTAAGACAACCAAACTCGTGCGTGCACGCACGCGTGTGTGTATGTGTGTGTGTACATGTGCATGTGTGTGGCACTTCCACTGGAAGTGACGAAGTGACGAGCAGGGATAAAATCTTTTCTTCATGTTACTAGAGAACTAGGAAAACAGTGCACACAGCTCTTTCTAGTAATCTTGATCCATGGAGATCTTCCTCTCTTGCCTCTGCAGCATTAATGTAATTACACTCAAATAAGCAACTATGAAATAAATTAAAAACATTTTTCAGTGGCCACACTTAGAGACCAGTAAACCCTACAAGACATGAAAAAAAAAAAATTTAACCAAACTTCCTAAAGAGAAACCTAACAGGAAGGCGACCGTCAATACCCACACCACGACAGAAGTTTCTAAATTACCAAGACCATCCTCCAATGACAGGGGTGTTAGATCTTTTATTATAGTACCGCAAGTCCCTGAGGCTCTGTTCTTCTTCGCCACCCCCCCTCCTCAAGCCTGCTCTGTTGGGCAATTTCTATTGTTCTACCTCCAGGTTTACCATTTTTTTCCTCTGTTGTCTCCATTCTGCTGGGGAGTCCCGCCAGAGACTTACCTCATTCAGTTATTGTAGTTCCACAATTTTTATTTGACTCTTCTTTATGTCTCCCATAGCTCTGCTAGACCTTTCCATTTCTTCATCGAGACTTTCTATTTTTCTTGTATTTCAAATGTGTTGGCAATTGATCACGGAAGCGTTTTTGTGACGGCTGCTTTAAAACCTCGGCCCTGTGATTCTAACGTTCACGTCACCTTGCTGTTGGCACGTGTTGATGTTTTCACTCAAGTTGCTTTTCCCGGTTCCTGGCAGCACAAGCGATTTTCAGTTGTGTCTGTGGTGGTGTCCCCTGGCTGAGCTTCCTAGCTGGCGTGCCACCTTCTTTCCACCATTCAGGTCTCCTTACGTTTGTTTTATGTGTAACGTCCAACAGTTTCAGCTACAGCTCACAGGAGGAACAGGGAGAAGTGTGTCTATTCCACCGTATCTAGAACTGGAAGTTTCCAGGTGTCGTTCTGAAAGGCAGTGCTGTTTGCCTGATGCTACTAAGAATAAGTCTAGACGGGGCGCCGGCATGGCTCAGCTCGTTAAGTGTCCAACTCTTGATTTCATCTCCGGTCACAACTTCATGGTTGGTGGGTTTGAGCCCTGTGTTGGGCTCTGCACCGACAGTGTGGAGCCTGTGTGGGATTCTCTCTCCCTCTCTCTCTCTCTCTGCCCTGCTCATGTGTTCTCTCTCCCTCTCTCTCTCTCAAAATAAATGAATAAACTTAAGAAAAGAACAAGTCCCTACAATAGGAGTAACATCAAGGGGCGCACTTTCCCCCATGAGTTCAGTCCCATCTCCACGGTCCTGACACGCGCAGCTGTTCGCAAGGAGAGGCTGCCCTCCCTACCTTACACAACCTACTGCCTTACCCGGAATGTTCTTCCTTCTTGTCCTTCTTCTCTCCACTTCCTCCCTCAAAACCCCACAAGAACCACTTCCTTCAGGACACCTCTCCCCGCCGCCTTCTGCTCACAGAATTCTCTCCCTTCTCTGCTTCCAGATCTTGACTGTCACATCATCTATCTTTCTTGAGGGAAGGGGACATGCTTCACGTGCGCTGTCGGACTAAGTGCTGGACACAGAGGCTGCTCTCAAACACGGATTCGGAGAACTCTACTGCGTGTCAGAAACAGAAAGGATGCCAGAAATATCTAATCCAAGCCCTAAGTTTGCACATATGGAAAATGAGATTCTTCATATAAAACGGGAACACAAAGATCACACAAGCCCCAAAGGAACACAAGAAAGAGAAGAATAACGGGGTACGTAAGCCCCTATGTCTCGCATAATTAACCAAAAGCTAATCATTTTATTTACACATCATTAGGAGCAATGATTACCTTGCCCAGAGAATAATTTCCAGTTTTAGAGGAGAAGATGTGGTATTATTTTAAGATACCATGTTCTCCTCTGGACATCAGGGCCAACTCCCCTGATCCCACTCACGGCTCGTAGACCCCGCTGGTCTGCAGACGGCCAGTCTCTGGACCAGCCACTCCCCACCTTCCCGCCTGGAAGCCGCCTGGCCTGAGAACCACTCGTCTTTCATCATCTCTCACTGTTCACTGCCTCTATTTCCACAGGAACTTTAGAAACACAACCACGAACTCACTTGGAGGCCACGTAAAGTAAGAGACAGAGAGAAAGAACAGCACGAAACTGAAGACGAGGGCCCCAACTTCACAGATGTCGCGGAGCACGTGGCCTCGCGGGGCCGTCCGCTCACCCGTGAGCTCCTCCGAGAGGCTCCCTGGCTGGACCCGTCTCCCCAGCCACCTCCAGCCCAACGACCGCGCCGCCCTGCCCTATCTTCTCCACACTTAGCAACATCTGCGTGGCCGAGCTGTGCGCCCGCGCTGCTGCGGTCCGGCCCCCGCCTCAGCAAGTCCACTCCGGGGGGCAGGGACGTGGTCTCGTTCAGCATCGCAACCTCGCTCACGGTGGAACCCGGTCGATACTTACTAAATGAAGGAAAGGAGCGAGGACTGCACCAAGTTTTCCAAGTCTGGCTGCTCTGACCCTGACATGTGTCTCCTGCCCCCACAGTACCCCTGGAGACTGTGGTGACGGCACGCAGACGGCCCGCTAGGACCGGCGGGCCACGGCGGAGGCACGGCAGCCAGCGACATCCGGCGCTTGTGGTACCTGGCAGCCGGAGCTCGCCTCCCACTCTGGCTGGTGGGGCGGCCCTGCCAGCCTCCTTGTTCCGGGGCCCTCGCGGGGCCTGGGTTGAAACAGGGGGTGGGGGTGGGGAGAGCAGGTACGGGCAGAGCCCGGCGGAGACGCGGCTCTCGCCGACACAAAGGTGGCACGGCGCAAGACAGCATCTAAGGACACAGACAAAGGGCTGTCAGAGGCCCGTACGTCGGCTCCGACATCGCCACGGGATAGTGTGACAGCACCGGTCCTCCCTCCCACGTGCCGCACCGCAGAACCCCGACAGCCCCCCGGTAGCCCCCCGGGAGCCTGTCAGGGCAGACTCTGCAGGCGTGCCGTCCGTGTGGCCAAAGGGACTGAAGAAACGAATCTTTCCTTTGATTGAAACATAAACAGTGACAGACGGCTGATGGCCAGCGCACTGGCCAGCGCAGAGAGCGCACTTCCGTCATCGCGGAAACTGCTGGTGGACAGCGCTGCTCTGTGGCAGACGGAGGCCACGGGGACATGTGTCCTTTCATCCGTGACACGTATGACTTAAGTTCTGTAAGTTCCTAGAAAATCAGACTCACCTGGATCTAGCCTAAGGCGGGGGGGGGGGGGGGGGGGGGGGGGGGGGGGGGGGGGGGAGAGATGGTCTTTCAGAGCAAAGGCACACCTCAGAGCCACACCGCTGAGGTCACCCGCTCCACTGTCACAGACGCAGGGACCGGTTGTACTCACACTGAACACCTGAACGTCGTTCCTGTTTCTTATCTCTTCCACGAGGGCCAGCGGCTTCCCTTTAGGCACCGGGATTGTGCCCAGGACTACGGTCCCCGGCGTGGACAGCGTCTGGCGGACAGCCTGGATGAAAGGCTGACTGAAGAGCTCCATTTTCCCAATCTCATCGATGACACACACTCTCTGCCCCGGGCCGCTGCCGGGACCTGCCTGAAGACAACAAAGACGCCAGGGTCACCTGAGGCAAAGGACCCAGGGGTCCCGCTCCCCAGCCACTCACCAGCTAAGCCATCCCAGGGCGAGTCAGTTAAGCCCCGGAAGGCAGAAGATCGTCTCCACGGGACACTTAACTGGCAAACGGATCTGGAAGAGCTCCCTTGGAAACCGCAGCAACCAGAAAATTCAGTTCCCTAAGCCACCCAGGTTCCTGGCAATTTTCTCTCTTCTAGAATGGTTCCAATAATAACCAAGCTCTGTATTTATATCCACCCAGGAAAGAAGCAGCACCCACATGCCTCAGGTTTAAACGAAACGAGACAGCAAGTCTGGGAGCCCTTATAAATAATACTGGCCTCTTTTTTTCGGTTTTGAGCTGTGTGAGATTCCCCGTCTACTGGGAGGAGGAAACCGCTGCAGGCAGAGGCCGGTGTGTATCATAATCTGCACTATAAGGGGTGGTGGAAAGAAGGGAAAGTTAAAAGGCAAGGAGTCTTGGTTAAAAGAAAAAAGCGAGCAGGGCCGTGCCCTTTAAACCTCAGATTCCCTTCCTAACGACTTCACTGCGTTCCTTCCTTGAAAGCCCCTCTCGGAACAGGTGTGGCGGCCAGCCTCCACGGGCCCTACTGCCTCCCAGCTCCCGGGACTCCCGTGTCCAGTCCCCCGCCACAGGGTTCCAGCATTGGTCCCCGCGACCATCCCTGAGACGAGGCAGAACGCACTGCTTCTACCGTGGTCTTAATCTCTCTCTCTTTGGGATGGCTCGCTGCCGTCTTGTGAGCACACTCAGGCAGCTGATGGCCAAATCCACGTGGGAAGGAACCGAGGTCTCGCTGCAACCCTGAGAGTGAGCTGGGAGGCGAATCCTCCCCAGTCAAGCGGCAGATGACTGCAACCTCATGACAGATGGGAGCCCGGACCTCCCAGCTGAGCCATTCCTGGATTCCTGACCCAGAAAAACTGTGTGAGGTGATGTCCGTGGTGTTAAACCCCAAAATTCTGGGGTAACGTGTTACACAGCAACACTAATGATCACTGATAATGATCACTCATAAACATGTCCTCTCTGGAAAGCCTTCCCAGAGAAAGCTATGAACAGTCCTTCCATAGCGGGGACACAACACAGATTAGCACTTCAGTGAATGCTGAGTGACAAATACGTTTTATATATCCTGGTATAAATGATTATTTTCCTCTATGCAAAGCTGATTTACAAAGTACTTTTCACTATAGTTCTTAGACTCCTTAAATAATGACGTCAATACGTTCTCAGAATGCGGGGCTGAGTTAAACTAGATTTAGCTCAACTGCCAACCCTGAAGCCAGAGTACAGTGCGGGCGGCGGGGGGGGGGGGGGGGTGCGGGCAGTGGTCCCCATGAGAGACGGGACTGGGGGAAGATCCCGAAGCCTGCATGGTACACAGAGGACGGTGGAATCTATCCAACAGATGAGAGATTCCAGCCAGGGAGGACCACAGGTTGTGCCCAAAAGGCCGCTAACTGTGTGGAACCTTCTGGAATAGACGGCATGAGATTTGGGGTCTAATCCTAGGCAGTTATTGAAGGCAAGCATTAGGGAAGTGGTTTTCAAACTTTTATGTAAGTGGTACTTTTATTCTTTTCTGACTTAATATCACATACATATTTCCCCACTCTGTTTATTAGCAGGAAGACCAGGAAGGGGTACATCCAAGAGAGGGTCTGTACCCTTAAACTCCTGTGTTTTTAAGGCATTTCATTTTTACCTCTCAATTGCACCCACTTGTGTGTGTGTGCATGTGTGCGTGCGTGCGTGTGTTTGCGCGCGCGCACCTGTTTCCCGCTCTTAGAGGCAGGGACCAGGCCCCATGCATCTTTTTCTTTCCCATGGAATTGAGTGATGCAAAGTTGAGCTGAGGCAGCTAGTGTTGCCCTCCAGCGACGGGGTGAGGGCGTCTGTGGAATCAATCGCTAATTTCCAAATTTCTCCTTCAAAAACGAGTGCCCAATTTGGGAGACATTTTAAAAGCTGGCAGCTACCTTCTCATTAGCATAAAAACAGACACCCCACAAGGGCAAGCCGTCCCAATGGCCTGACTCTTACCAAGGAGTATTTGGGGCATTCTGCTGCCTCCAGAGACCAAGAATAATTGCAGAGGTCATCCTTCCACAGGCATCTAGAAGCCAAACAGGGTGCTATCCTGGCCCATCAAAATGAGAGTTTGAAAGCAGTCAATTCAGAGAAAGAGAAACAATAAGATGTGTGTGCCCGTGTACATGTACATATGCAGGCAGCACGTACATATGCACGTGGGCACGTACGCGAATATATGAGTAGGTATAAACATAAAGCACAAGGCTCTCCAACCACCTTTCCTCAGATTCCCTACAACGTTCACCAACGGGAGCTCGACGGCATTATTTAAGCTTCCGCACAAAGATACCTGGACACACATACATACGCTATGTTGTACCAACCGGAAATGTTCGTTTTCAAACCTCAGTTTACAGGAAATCCTTATTCTGTCTAGAATTAGGGACTTTTATCACCCAGAAACTGTAAGAATCTCGAAAAGAAGTCTGGGATTTTTGACGAAAAAATGTTAAGTTATTCATGCTCAATTGAGAGATATTAGAAACTCAGAAGCCCGTAAACACCGTTTTTTCTAAATAACGTGAACATTTAGTCAAGCCTGTGATAAAGGAAGCACTATCATATTCACGATTGTTTTTTTATATAAACTCAAGCAACTTTAGAGGGAAACAAGAACAAACCAGTGAGCACACATAAAACCCTGCCGGCACCAGGGCCCGGGTCTGAAAACTACCAGGAGCCTCCCCAGCCCTCCCCAGCGCGGCTGCGAAAGTGATAATGGGCCCCTGGAGCATCACCTCTGAAGGTGTGCAGTAAGGAGCTCATGAAGAACTTCCGGCGGCTTCGCACCCGGCGTCTTTTTTCTTCCCACACCTTCTCTCCACACAAGACGTAAGAGGCGGCAGGGCTGTGGACGCGACCCGGCAGCCCCTGCACCACTCACCACTCCCCTCCCCCCCAACTCACCACCCCTCTCCTCCCCTGCCCGCTCCCCACTCCGCTCCCCACTCCTCTTCCCTGGGCCACTTACCACCCCTCTCCCCACACTCACCACCCCTCTCCACCCCCCCACTTACCACCCCTCTCCCACACTCACCATCCCTATCTCGGGCCGACTGTATATTTTCACTGTCACAAAGAGGTAGAAACACTGGTTTCTGCAAGGCATATTTCAGTTCTTGGGGTGTTCTGAGAGAAAGGATACTTCCTTGGGACAGAGTCGTAATACTGACCAGCCAGTGGTAAGGGAAGCCATGAAAAATTTTATAACTTGGCTTACACTCAGCTAGTTTGCTTTCTGGAAAGATTAAATCAGTTTGGAGCAACAAGATATCTGTGTACCAGCTACGCCAGAGACCTAAAAATTGTGTGACTTTTTTCAGTTTCTTGTTTAATCTTTAAAAGCACTTTTAAGAACACAAATGAAAACATAAACCTAAATAAAATAGGCAATTTCATTTAACCAGAGTACTATATTGAAAAAAAGTGGATTTGTCTTACTGTGAATGATTTACTTCATTAAGTATTTCTGGGGGTATGAACTTACTTTTTTCTTTACTATCAGACCCCCAGCCTGGCCTCTGAGCTGGCCTGTCTGGGACCACGAGTATCAAAGTCGCAGGAGGGAACTGGGGAGCGCGTGGCAGTCGTCAGGGGCAGAATGACGACCCTGAGCCCCCCAAACAGCCACGGTCCCGGGAAGCCAGAGAGGCAAATGGCGGGAACAGTGGCCACAGACAAGCCAGCCCACAGCTCAAGTTATCAGCTAAAAGTGAAGGGCCCCGACTAGACTTCTATGTGGGCTTATTCCGCGCCTAAAGTTTCAAAATCCCTTAGCGGTCTCGTGGCACTCGACCGTGTGTCCCCAGGGAGGAAATCACAGGCTGGCGCCCAGGACAAGATGTCTAGACTGCCTGACGCGCCCTGCAGCCCAGCCCTTCTCTACTGGGGCGTGCCCTGGGCGGGAGCTGTCCCTGCCCTGGTGCCAGACGTTCCCACCCCAGGGCCCAGGGCTCCAGGCTCCTCCGGGGTGTCCTAACTGGCCTCTCTGGGGCTCGCCCACTCGAGCGCCTGTCTGCAGAGCACCAGACCGGCGCCCTCAGGATCTTCCACCATCCTGGGCCTGAAACAGCATCCGCCGGCTGACAGCCAGCCCAGTGGATCGGGAACCTGCTACGCCTCGTGATCCCAGCGCCTCGGGACCAGCCTGGGCATCTGAGCTGGTGGGTGTCCGTGACAGATTTCCAGCTGGCTCCGGCCCCGGGGCCCTGGCACGCACAAATCAGACTGCCGAGGTGAGGCCCTTCCCCAGGTTCTGCCTCCCATCACTCCACTCGCCTTCTCACCAGAAACAATCAGAACTATCCCTACGTCTGCCCCTCCTAGTGGCCCGGGACTAACACACTTTACAGGGAACTCCGCGTTCAGTCCTAGAAACTTCGTGTAGCAGGTCTCTGCAGCCCTGTTTTAGGATGAGGAACAGTGAGACAAAGTCACTGAGCTCCCAAGTGAGAGCCGGGTGTCAACCCCAAGACCACCTGATGCCAAAGCTCCCCTCCATACCCCACGTGCAATACCACCCACACGTCTTCTCAGTGTGAATAAGGAAAGAAATCGAAGAAAGGAACCAAAGGAAATGGAAGGGAAGAACGGAAGGAATCCATCTAACTGTAAGGAAAATACTTTTGCCTCCAATGAGAACCAAGGGCACTGTACTTTCTACGGGCTACAGAGGCAGAGCCCCAGACCCATTTTGGGAGTAATCATTACTCTCAATTACTCCAAAAGAACGACACACTCAGGGTCTCAGAACAAGTAACGCCACCAACAGCCTTTTATCCAGATACAGAGTGGCCTGCTTTGGCAGGCGGTAAGATGTGACCTGCAGGGGAAGGGCCCTCCGCCCTCCACCTCTCTCCCT